CCCCCCTCTTGTCCCCCTCCACCCAGCCTCTGCTCCACTGCAGACCTTCACCACACTGTTGTCTGTGTCTGCAGGTTATACATATATGTATATATGTCCTTCTGTTAATCTCTTCTCTTTCCCCCCACCTCCCTCCCCTCTGAGATCTGTCCATGTGTTCCATGCATCCATGCCTCTGGACCTATTTTGTTCATCAGTTTATTTTGTTCATTAGATTCCATATATAGTGAGGTCATGTAATATTTGTTTTTCTCTGACTGGCTTATTTCACTTAGCATGATACTCTCCTTGTCTATCCTTGGTGTGCCAAAGGGTAAGAGAGTCTTCTTTTTTACACTGCATAGTACTTCATTGTATAAATGTCCCACAGTTTTTTTATTCACTCATCTACTGCTGGGCACTTGGGCTATTACCAGATCTTAGCTATTGTAAATAACGCTGCCATGAGCACAGGGGTGCATATATTATTTCTGATCGGTGTTTCAGGATTCTTACGATATATTTATTCCCTAAGTGAGATTGCTGGGTTAAATGGCAGTTCCATTTTTAATTTTTTGAGGAACGATCATACTGCTTTCCATAGTGGCTGCAACAGTCTGCATTCCCACCAGCAGTGCACGAGGGTTCCCTTTTCTCCACACCCTCACCAGCACTTGTTGTTTGTTGATTTATTGATGAAGCCATTCTGGCAGGTGTGAGGTGATACCTCGTTGTAGTTTTAATTTGCATCTCTCATGACTAGTGACACTGGCCATTTTTTCATATCTATAGGCCATCTGTAAGTCCTCTTTGGAGAAGTGTCTATTCAGGTCTTTTGCCCATTTTTTATTGGATTGTTTGCCCCCTGATGTTGAGTTGTTAGAGATTAACCCCTTATCACATATATCATCGGTGAGTACGTTCCCTTTTTATTTTGTTGATAGTTTCTTTTGCTGTGCAGGAGCTTTTTAGTTTGATGTAGTCCCATTCATTTATTTTTTTCCTTTGTTTCTCTTGTCTTAGGAGATTGGTGAAAATACTGCTAAGTGAGATATCTGAGATTTTACTGCATATAATTTCTTCTAGGATTACCTAATCAATTTAACCACACTACTTCAAAGTTTTTTCCAAATCTCAGTTCTAAAATTTTGTGATCCTATTTTATCAATTCCTTATTATTTGATGTCTTGTCAATTCCTTGGGGATAATAATGTTCAATATCTGGGTCTCTTAGGAGAAATCCTAGTGAGAAGTCATACTGTGAAAGATGGAGGTCTTTCACAAATGTCATCTTGGATCATTGTTTCAGCTGGTATACAGTCTCCTCAGCTACCCAAGTAAATAAATTATAGGATGCATGAATCAGTAGAGTAGCTTGTTAAATAGTTCAGATAAACTGATTCTACTTTATGTCATCATTTCAATGTGAAGCGATCAAGAGGAAGAAAAGAACAGGAGAATTTAAAAGAAATTGGAAGATGGAGGAGGCCTTTGGAGACCTGTCCCCTTGATGATCCAGTCCTCCGTCTCAAAGACTGAAAGAGTGAAAAGGGTACAATCTGCTGCAGTCGTAAAAGTGAGAATGAGGTCCCCTCCCTCCCAGTTTCCCATGGCCTCACAGAGTGGGCATATGGACCCCAATTTCTTCTAACAAGTGAAAAGTGGTTCTAATAAAGAAGGGGGAAGTGAGGCATCAAAGAGAAGAGGTTACAAAAGGTCAAATAACAAGCTGAAGAATATGGAAGGGAAAGGTAGCATGTAACTGGCCCCAGTCCAGAGATAGAAGACAGCCAAGCTGTTTAACTGGCACACCACCACCTCAGCTATTTACACTAACATTACACCCAAAAGCTACTGTTCTAAGCACTTACTGGCAGAATAAACAAGCCTTCAGTTCTAATGAGTCACTGGGCAGTTCCATGCACAAGGCCCAGGAACTCTCCATGACATGGGAACCAACATAAACACTCCCGCGGAACTGGCTCTCTTTCTGTGAATCAACTGGGGACACAGACACAACACCCCAAACTCTACCTTGTATACGATCTTACTCCTGCTATCTGTGAGGTCCAGTCGGATGGAGATATAATCAATGTTGGGAGAAGGAGGATCCTTATGTTGATATCGAAGCCCCATCAGCAGGAACTCCTCACAGCTCACTTTGAGACTTCCTATTTTCTTCAGTCCCAGGGTACAGTTTCCACCTGGACACTTGAGTTCTGTTCCCAGTTCTAGAATGTACAGCATTGAATTAAAATAGTCACTTGAACATAACGATTATAAAATTTAAAAGCCAATCCTCTCTCCTGTGGGTACTTATTCTTTCTCAACACCCCAAGAATATTCATGTGTGCCCTCCAACCATTCACTGAGTCTGTTATCATTATTCTAAAAGTCTATAATTTCCTTTACTAAAAAGAGCAGGTGACCAGTTGTCTCATGAGATCCTTGCCCAGTAAAAGTTACACTGGGGGAAAATAATAATGAAATGCACTTTCTGGTGCTTGAACATCTCTGAAAAATAGGCCAGTGGCTCACTGTAACCCTTCCACAGTCCAGCCACAGTCTCCCTTTACAGCACCCTCCTCCAGGGATCCATCATGCAATCTCTCTCTACTAGGCTGATCTACACACTGAAATTCTCTCCCCACTGTGCTTGTCACACACTGGAGTCCTGCGTACATCTCCATGTCCACTTACCCTTTTTACTAAATTTTCCCTTAAACGTTCTTTGACCAACTCAACCAACCTGCTCTCTTCTACTGAAAACCATAATCATCTCTCCAATAGTCCTCATGTCTCTGCCCAAATGCATTTTTTGCCCTTGTTGGGCATATGATACACAGAGGCCACTTCTTTTTCGAGTGGCCTTCTACACATTTCCCTGAAGTACAAAATGGATATTCTACTTCTTGACTGAATGAGATGACATGTGTAGGTATGTCTTTAGCTGTAAACTGCTGTCCAGATTCAAGCTATTACTGTGATTGTGATTATCCCTTCTATTTCTTGGTCTTCCCATAATGCCTAGAACACTATTTACCATATAGGAGTTGCCCAAAACATATTGATTAAATTAATAACAGAAAGAAAATTATCTATTAACTCTTCCGGATTTAAACCATGGCTGCTGCCTACCAGCTCTACTCAAACCTGCTCATAATCTACTAATACTTAATGAACACACCAACTACTCTTACTACCACTGCCGTTGCTGCTATTAATCATAACAGCTGACAATTCTTGAGCACTTATTATGAGCCAGACTGCGTGAAGCACTTTGTGCTCACTGACTCCATCCTGACACAACCCTATGCAGCAGCTGTCATCTTTGCCCACTTCACAGAGGCTTGTACAGGTTAGGTAATGTGCTTAAAATCATGCAGGAAATAAGTAGCAGAGGCAGTTTTCAATCTCAGATCTGTGTGATTCCAAAGTCCACACTCTTAACCACTAACCTCCATTTTTCAATCAGCTACAAATTATACTAAGCAAAAACTCTGTCATAGTGGAGGATGACCATTTACAGATACTTTTGTCAGTTTTGGTAACAGCTAGATAATTATTAAAACATTTCATACGAGACTTAGGGAAAAAACTGTGTGGCTGATCTCCACGAGGTTCTTCTGGCCGAGGCTCCACCACCACCACCTGGCCGTGGGCTGGCAGCCGAGTTCCCACAGGGTCCAGCCTGACTGTGCACTCCAGGGTAGCTGTTCTATCATAATCAAATCGGAGCAGGTTCTTATCAATGGCTCGGGACAGGCCGTAGAATTCAGACACCTCCAGTACATTGTTACTCATACGGATAATGTTACAGTCTGGATCCAGGAGATAGACCCGCAGGATAAAGGTTTCCGTGAAGGTGTCTGTCTCGGTAAATCTGTGGGGAGAACAGAGCAAAGGCAAAATTTACTGGTGCTCAGGTACTCTTTTTTTTCATCCCCAATATCCCCCTTTATTTTAAAAATAATTTTGTATGCTTCAATTACAGCTCCCATACAATATTATATTAGTTTCAGGTCTACAACATAGTGATTAGACATTTATATAACTTATTAGTTGACTACCTCAATAAAGCTATTACCCATCTGACACCATACATAGTTATTACAATATTATTGGCTATATTCCCTATGCTGTACTTTACGTCCCTATGAAGTTAATTTTTTTTAACTTTAAAGTCTCAGAAAGATCAAACAGCCCTGTATGCAGATTGTATAGCTTCCTAAGGAATCCTTGAGTGCCAATTTGTTTTCTGAACACAGCATTTTGCTCGTGTCTCTCTGTCAGCACTTGTCGCTCTGCATAACAATTATCGACCTGTTTTTTGTGTCAGATTATGAGCACCAAGAGTCCATATATCCTCATCTTTGTGTTTCCTATGCCCAGGACAGGCCTGACCTATAGTAAGTAATTGTAAGTGTTTATAGAATGAGTCACTGTTCCAATGTCTTCTATAAAACTTTTTTATTAGCCTAGTGCTTAAGGGAAATTCACATTGAGTTATTTTAGCCAAATATTCATAAGAGCAACAAAAACAAGTAAAAAACTATATAAAGGTCTACTCCACCCATACTGAATTCTCAGTTGTTTATATGAAGTGAGCAATAACAAAACTATGAGCTTAATTTTTAAATTAACTTTTTACTAAGATATAATTAATATACCATAAAGTTCACCTTTTTAAAGCACAACCCGGTGGTTTCTAGTATTCACAAGGTTGTACAACCCTCATGACTTTCTAATTCCAGAACATTTTCATCATCCCAAAAAGAAATCCATACCCATTAGCAATCAATTCCTATTTCCCCTCCCGTAGCCCCTGGCAACCACTAATCTACTTTCTGTCTTAATGGATTTGCCTTATCTGGGCATCTCATATAAATGAAATCATACAACATGTGACCTTTTGTGCCTGGCATCTTTCATTTAGCATGAAGGTTTCAAGGTTTATCCATGTTATAGGATATATCAAGTACTTCATTCCTTTTTATGGCCAAATAATATTCCATTGTATGGATATACCACATTTTGTTTATACATTCATCAATTTGATTGTTTCAATTTTTTGGCTATTATGAATAATAGTTCAATGAATATTTGTGTACCAATTTTTGCATAAACATAGATTTTTATTTCTCTTGTGTATATATACCTAGCAGTGGAACTGCTGGGTCACATGGTCACTCTGTTTCACTTTATAATTAATTTTTAAAAGGTTTTAATTATCTAACACATTTAAAAATAAATGATTCTGCACCTCTTAGAACTAAGCAGATGCTCATCAAAATGAACTTTACTGAATTTTGGAACATATTTTCCTCCTAATTCTCATTAAGAATTTATAGTTTATAATTTTCATTTCCCATTATAAGGGGAAGGTTGGCTCCAGAGATACCTGTACAAGAACTCTACAGGAAACAGGATAGGGCTAATCATTTGCCACAGAAAAGCCCCAAAGAAGACGATACAAATAAAGATAACTGAGCATTGGCTACAATTCTCGCCTCACCCATTCAGGCCTCCAGTTTCTACTGATTACTTCCTTGTTTGGAATCTAGTAACTCCCCCATGGTAATACCTATCCACAGAAAGAGAAGTACACAGAATAATTATCTGGCAAAGAATGAGCAATGCTCCTGTGCTGCTTACCTATAAAGTCTAAGCTTCACGGTGTCTTCATCAAGAATTGGGCAACCGTTGTGAATATACTTTACTTCATTGGGAAGAAAATGGCAATCAAAGACCTAGTTCACATGAAGAAATGGATAAAGATCTGTGAGAAAATTGGTACAAGGTTCAATTTTTCCAGCAGTGCAGTAGTGCTTGGAGAGTGATGGTCTGTTAACATCCTGTTTTGTTTTGTTCTCTGTGTGTGTGCGTGTGCATGTGTGTGTGAGTGTGTTTTAACCACCACCACTTATACCAACCCCCATGCCCACTCACCATCCTACTTATACAGTTGTGTCTTGTACTGAGAATATCTAAATTATGAAAATCACATCACGTAGATAAATTAAGGAGTGATTTTCTCTCTAAACAATTATCTTTTTACAGTCTATTGTGCATTTGAAATATGGTTCCATTGATCAAAATGTTATTTACCCATGCTCTTCAGGAGTTCATGGCCATTGAGTAAGAGAGTATATACCTGTGTATATGCACTAAAAGGCATGCATTACACAACCCGTGAATACACTGTATGAGTTCTATATGTTTTTTTCTTCACCTTTTATTTATTTCTTTTCCAAATAGCATTTTTATATTCAAAAATGAAGGCACTAACTATGGACACTATTGTGGTTCATCAGAGACAAACCTGACCCACAACTGTTTCTCATATATGTTTGAGAGACTACTTTTATAATTCATGTAATAATAGAAATGGTTGATAAGACAAATAGCAATCTAAAGGCAATTACCTCTATTCAAGTAAAAGTATAATTAACTGGATTGCCTCACTCAGAACTATTAAGAAAATTGCTAGCTATTATATTTCGGGAACCCTAGTTTTTTGCTGTTGTTGTTTTTTTAAATATATCTTTATTGATTTCAGAGAGAGGAAAGGAGAGGGAGAGAGAGATAGAAGCATCAATGATGAGTCATTGATCGAGCCCGCAACCCGGGCATGTGCCCTGACTGGGAATCAAACCCCGATCGCCTGGATCCCAGGTTGACGCTCAACTGCTGAGCCACGCCAGGCCGGGCGAGAACCCTAGTTTTTAAAAGATATATTTTCTCTTCCACCTATACCATGATCCTCATTCTGCCCCTTCTGATTTTGTCGAGTTCTAAGAAATACAGCAGGTCCTCAAATAATGTTTCTTTCAATGTCACTTTGTTATAACATTGATGAGATAGGTGCAATAGGACCTTAACTCTTTTTATATCATTTAGCCTATGGTAAAATTGGTTTTGTTATACATCATTCAGCTTAAAGTCGCAGAACTTTCCAATGATGTGAAGTGAGGACTTACTGTTCCCCTGAAGTATTCACACATTGTCACTGCTGAGTTCATGGTGTTTAGCCTGTACCTCATTACAGCTTCAAACATTTACAGACAACATAGTCCTCTCTGAGAAGACTTTACCACTAATACAAATGATCTTTTCCCACCGACATCATTGGTTCCCTGTTTTAATTTACTACAGGGAAGGAAATAAAGGAAAGACCTTTCCCATATCATTGACAAATAGTCATGGTAATAAACAGACAATCTGTTTTGTTAAAAGAAACATCTGTTTTATGTTTCATAATATGTTTTCCTTTTATAAAAGGCAACAACCATAATTGTCCATAAATTTACTAAGTAAAACAAAAAAGAGCTAAATCTTTTTCTAATTACTGTCTAGCTTTGTTTTTTTCCACTCCAACTGCTTTTCAATTACAATTTATAATTAAATTGTCACACATTCCTAACTCAATACTCACTCTAATGACAGTGAACTGGTTCAAACTAGAGATGTTTTCTTACTGCTGTATTTCTTATTCAAAAGAGCAAGTTCAGGGCTAAAGTGGGGTGCTTTTCCACCCAGGAAATTTCTTGCTTTGGGGCAGGTGTGAGAAGTGTTGGGTGTGAGGAAGTCTTGCCCTAAAACATGAGGAAAACGCATTGCCATCGGCCTTATGTAATTGACTATTTCAGGAGGGTCGTCTAAACAGAAGGTACTGGTGTGCGCGGATCGAAATCCCTTCCCAAATATCCAATAGGAAAATGAACGTGTTCGTCCTAAGACAAACTTCAGTCACGAAATGAAAACACTAATTGAACAGATGTTAAACAAAACATTTTCTGAGCAGATCAAATAAAACTGTTCATTACACAGCAGGGTGTTGTTAATACAGTCATCTTGCAAGAAATGAGTTCACATAAGCCTTGCTTTCAACATTCTAGTAAGATCTATTACAGAGTAATGTGTAAGCTGTGTGTGTGTGTGCGTGTGTGTGCGTGTGTGTGCGTGTGTGTACGTGGCTATGCTTCATTTCAAAAACTCCATAAGAAATAAATTGCTGGAGAGAGCTAAATCAGCCTGGATTAAAACAAGCACACTGTTCAAAAAAAGCAGTATTTACTTGGCAATCTTGTTTTTTTGTTGAAATTATCATAATAAAAAATGGGAAGATCACCTGTCAGTTTGAGAAACGTTTTCTGGATATATAGATTTCCTTATGGTACAAAGTTCTAACATTTGAACAAAAAAAGGTGAAAATTTTTCACATTTTAATGGATTCCTTTCCCAGAGAATAAATTTTAGGTGTAAATCACACATCTACCTTGTATGATATAAATGCATTTTGAGATGTCAGGTTTACCTCTGGAAATACATACACTGAACATTCAGGACTTGGTTTTTTACATTTTTAAATTTGTTTGTTTTGTGTGTGTGTTTTTAATAAGCAGCAGCATATGGGGACAGTCTGAGTCCTGCTCCTTTCCCTAGCAGTCCAGACTTTCTTAAATCAGCCAGGCATGTTGTTGTTTCTGATCCNACTAGGGGACCATCTGGGGACAGTCTGAGTCCTGCTCCTTTCCCTAGCAGTCCAGACTTTCTTAAATCAGCCAGGCATGTTGTTGTTTCTGATCCATATCGTGTTTCTATATGAATTTTGTCTTAAAACCAGAGAATGTCTGAAATGAAGATAACTGGGAGATCTATTACAACCCTTCATCCGTGTGACCAAATAGCTTTTTAGCCTAGTTTTAGTCACTTAGATCCCGTTTTGCTCTCCAGTGCCCCAGAGCCAGCCAAATGGTGAGGACCACTGAAACATCATAGAAAAGATATAATAGAGACAATCTCATTACTCTCAGAAAAGGTGCTATATATGTTCAGAAGTCATAGGCTCTTTGGGACGGGAAGACATGCCCCTCATAGGCTGGCTCAAGTAACAGTTCATTTTCCCCAAACTGCTTTCAAAGAAGGGAGAATCTGGTGAATACAGGGCTTTTGCTTTGTTCAGTGGGGCATGCTTGGGGCCAGAGCTAAACACAACTGTACCATAGGGTGCCCCAGCATGCTACCAGAAGGAATTTTTCTTCTCTTGCCCCACAAAATATTCAGCCTCACTTCTAAATAAATGTTGGACATTTAAAAAATATATTGATTGGAAGAGGTACCAAATTGTCAGTTCATCAGTCTTTATAAAGCATCTACATATATCCCTACAGGGACCACAGTCCCTGAGGATTAGGATCCTATCTTGCTGCTCCCCAAAACTCCAAGGGTTGAGTCTCTGTTGCTTGCAACTGAGCTTATTCATGTCACCTGCTCATTCTGGTCTCTCCTTTCTCCTTGAGTGGTAGGTGCCAATCAAATACATTTTCAGAGTGTAAGTTGTATTGACAAAAAGTGAGGAGATAGTGCAATTACCAAACACTTAGGGACCTGGGGCCATTATTATCTACTAGCATTTTTTAGATGCCCATCTGAAGCTCTCTGACTGACAAAAGCAAATCTCATGGGAAACTAGAGGGAAATATTTGGTTACTATCACATCAGAAATACTTCCAATAAGCCCTCCACAGAATTCTGATGTACTTCAGAATTGGACCATAACTTTAAATGTCGTAAGTAGGATGACTAGAGATGTCCATTTGAGGAAGCATCTGTCTAAGTCTCTACAACATCTAGCACCACTTTTGAATAACTTCATGTAAGGAATGTGTTTCTTTAGTCAAATGGAGAAGAAAATTAATGTTCTCAGTTCAGAAAATGGAAATGATGTATTTTTCCAGAAGCAGCATCCAGTGTTGAATATTCTCAGAATTGTTTGCATTGGGAGGAAAATTAAGCCTCAGTAGAAACAAGTAATAAAATCAGAAGCAATATATATCTATTGTGTATAGAAATAAACTATTTTAAGCAAATATATGACAATACAGATTTTTTTTAAAAAAACAGTGAATTAGAAGGCAATTCTTCACCCTACAAAAGGATTGAGCATAAAATACTCTTAAATGACAAGATCTCCTAGGTTTTGATTAAAGGAAAAAAATTTATGCAGACATTTTTGAAGAACAGTGGATAATTAAAAAGAAATATCTTCACATTTCTTTTCCAAATCTATTCCCATACTCAAGGGAATATTCAAGTGATGTTACTAGATGAAAATGTCTTCCTGTTTTACTTTTGCTATTCTGCAGTGACAGGTGTGTCCTAAAAATGTCTCAAAATCCTGATATGTTATCCAAAGGCACCTGACTAGCAATGGGTGAGATCATTTGAGGAGGGGATAACCCATAAAGACTGACCATATCTCACCACACCAGAGATGGCCTATTCTAATCCTTGGAAGGCTGTCTTTGTTTTGTGTTCTCTCCCACCACCTCCACCCCCCACCCCGCCAACACACACACACACACACACTCTCACATTCATACACACTACTGAATAGAAAATCTGGGACATGACCTACCTGCGGAGTGAGTTTCCCAACCCTCTGGGTTATTGGCTCATTCATCACAACTTCCACTTTGCAAGTGTCCTTCTCTTTGGGGATGGCAAACTTCAGGTCATCCTCTGACAGGAAGGCAGAGCTGCCCTTCATCACCCTGACCCCACGGTTCACGCTGATGAAGGTGGGGCTGGCCCAGCCCAGGAGGAGCAGCAGCAGCAGGGCTCTCAGCCCATCCCAACTGAGAGAGCTCATGCCGACAGGGGCCAGCTTGTTTCCGTCCACCGGCAAAATCCCTTCAACAAAGGACGGCTTCTGTGCTTCTTCCAGGGATGTCAGCTCATAGTCCAAGGGGCAGGGCAAGGGGTCCCGACAATGTGCCCCAAGATCTTAACATGTCTCTTTCATTGCAAACTCAGACAAGGAGGCCTTTCAGGCAATCCCAAGGCTTTTAATAAAACTCGCTGATCACTCCTGACAACGCTGGCAAGATTAATGTGCTTTTCTAATCCTGCAAATGGGAGTAGGGGTTGGAGGAAAGTAAGAGAGAGACCAAAAGGCTTGTGTGGCTATTCAAAAGATCCCTACCAACAATGGAATCTTTCAGCCAGCCTATAATTTTAGTTAAATTAAAAACAAATAAACTAACTTGACCTCCAGGCCCATCCGAAAGGCAATGCAGCCATTTCATTACACTGCTTGTAACTCCTGCTTCCGGACTAAACAGGCCCCATTGAGATGTCAGCTGTGTGGTCCAACAGGAGCCAGCCAGCAGCTGCTCAAGTGCAGCGTGTGGTCCCCTGTGTTTAGAGAGAGATGTTGAACTCTGCCTCTGCTCCCTCATCTGTTAAATGAGGACTGTAACCTAACTTGTGGAAGAGAGCTGATAGAATTATTTGAACACTGCTTGAAAATATGATTAAGTCTAAATCAGTGCCTCCCAAATAAGAAATGGGCTTCATAATTTGTCACAAAGTCACAATTCTGACTTTGCTGGGCAATGACAACACCTTAAAAAACACTTGTGGTATTTGCAGAAAACATATTTTTTTATCAAGTGAACATTTACGTTTTTTGTTCATGTGTAAAAGGGCCTACGAATCAAGTAACATAGCTTCAATATGCACAGCTAATAACAGTGTATGTGCCTGGGTATTTACATTCCCTCCAATGCTAATTGTATTCTAATGTACTGAATTTGCCCAAATGGAGTCTTCTTTTTTTGCCATTTTATTAAATGTTGGGGGGTAACATTGCTTTATATTATCATATGGTTTCAGGCGGGGGTTTCTATGTTACAAAGTCTGTATATTGCACTGTGTGCCCACCACTCAAAGTCAAATCTTCTCCCGTCACCATATATTAGGACCCCAAATGGAGTCTTCTTGTTCCTAATTTAACCACTTAGAATTTCAAGATTATTTCTCTGTGTTCTATGAGAACAGAAATGATTTTATCAAAAATAACATGTATTAAAATACATCCTGAAATTCGGGGTATGATTAGGTGAGCCCATGCTAGTTTATTATGCCCATAGAAAAGCTTTACATTTTAATGATCACAATAAATTTTTGTACATAATCGATGGATACTAAAATAAATTTTGACAGAAGGGTGTAGACCAAAAAAAAATGCCTCTATTATCCACATCTAATACACATTAGAGAAAGGCTCATTCCACATTAAAGAAAGACTCAATCTCTTGTCACTGTTTGAGCCCTTTAACTTTTGAGGTAGTGCATGACATGTGTCACTTGACACCTGAGGGGGTGTACTCTTTAGAGAGCAGCCTGTTTTTTATGGTGTCAGCCTCAAAATAAAACAGTTCATATAATCCCACTGACCACATTGCCCACACTCAGGCCTAATTAGGTTGGCATATTTGGGCAAGAATGTAAATTTGGGTGTTGAACTTTCACAACAAAATCAAGTCTTGTTTCCATTCATATCTGGGATCTCAGACCACTCAAAAGAGCAGTACATTCAGAGAGAAGAAAGGAAGCAGGGTAGATGGGTGTCTCCCAAAATTAAGACATAAGGAAAAACTTTGCATTCTGAGATTTAGACAAATTAAGTCAATATGTAAAGGATTCAAGGACTCTACAATCCTGTGTATTCCTCTTATCTCATTCTTATCTCACTTCTTCACTGCTTCTTCCTGGACTCCCCGACTTTTACAAAAATATATGTCTTTTTTGATTTCAGAGAGAGGAAGTGAGAGGGAGGGAGAGAGAGGGAAACATCAATGATGAGAGAGTCACTGATCAGCTGCCTCCTGCACGCCCCTACTGGGGATCAAGCCGTAACCAGGGCATGTGCCCTGACTGGGAATGGACCTGTAATCTCCTGGATCATAGGTCTACCCTCAACCGCTGAGCTACACCAGCTGGGTAACTCCCTGACTTTTTAATGTTGAGGAGCCTATAGTCCAGTCCTTGGACCTGTTTTTTGTCTATTCTCACTCCCTAGTGATCTCATTCCTTGGCTTCAAGCACCATTTATATGCTAATGAATCCCAAATTTATATCTCTGAGCTCCTCTCTTAACTCTGGATTTGTACATGCAACTATCTATTTGGCATCTTTGTGTGGGTGTGTAACAGGCAACTCATACTTTATGTAGCCAAATTTGAGCTCTGCGTCTTGCCTACCTTCGCCTTCCCTTTCTCCATTAATGGCAACTTCAGCTTTTCGGTTGTTCTCCAGTTTGTCTCACACTCTGCATCCAAACAGACCAAAAAAATCCTGTTTGTTCACTGTGATGGACAGGCCTTATGGTAACCTCCAATAATTCCAGCCTCCTAGTATCCAGAATTCCTCTCTCCTTCAGTGGCAGCAGAACGTACGACCTTTCCAAACAGCAGAATGAGGCAAAGGTGATGGGATGCCATTCCCATGATTGCATTACATCACACTCCACTCTCCCTGCGGACCGCAGCCCGGCTCTCCTGCTGAACTAGAAGCAAGCCCCCATAAGTTCTGTCACAAAGAAATGATTTCTGCCAACAACCAAAACGAACGAGCTTGGGAGAATATTCTTCCTAAATCAAGCCTCCCGATAGGAATGGAGCCCGGTCAACACTGTGATTGCAGCCGGATGACGACCTGAAGCAGATAACCCCAGGAAAGCCACAACTGGACTCCTAACCTGTGAAAACTCGGAGATAATAAACTTGTGTTGTCCTAAGCCACTGCATTTGTAGTAATGCACTTACACAGCAATATAACCTGAATGATCTCCTCCTTTAAAACATATCCCGAATCCAATTACTTCTACCTACTTCTGTTAGCAGCCTGGTCCAAGCCACCACCAACCAACCCTGCTGGATGACTGTAATAGCATCATATTTTCTTTCCCTGCTTCTCCTCTTGCCTCCTCTTTAGGCATTTCCCAGCATGGCAGTTGAGGTTCCTATTAAATGTTAATTATATAATCACTTCTCTGCCCAAACCTCCAATGGCTTCTCATCTTAGAGTAAAAGCTGAAGCCTTCATAGTGAGCCATAGGCACCATGTATTCTTTTTCCCCACTTACATCTCCCATCTCTCTCCTGTGTGTCTGCCTTCCCTTTGCTCACTCTGCTCCAGCCACACTGGCATCTTTGCTTTTCTTCAAACAAATCAAGATCAACCTTTCCCTTCTTGCCTCCCTCCCGAGCTTTCCCACTTGCTGTTCCCTGTGGCACAGCATTCTTCCCCCAGATGTCCTCCTTTCCACCTCACCACTTTCAAGTTCTCCAGCAAATGTCACATTTGCAGGGTGGCCATGCCTAACCAGCCATGAAGGTGAGGATTTCTACCTTTACATTCATGGGTTTGTCTTTATGATTCCCGCAGTCCTACTGCACAGATAGAGGATGCTGCCTTGTACCTGAGAAACAGGGCCACCATTGGCTGCAGAGCTGTGAGCTACAAGGAACCTGGGTCTCTGGGATGTGTGCAAAGCAGAGTCACCATACCAGCCCATTCTTCCAGAATTTTACACCAGAGGATGTAAGCCTGTCTCCTGCTTTAACCCACTGTTATTTTAGGTTTACTCTGTTACTCATCACTGAACTCCATGCTTTTAATAATCGCCTTATTCTGCAAGTTTTTCTATTAATTTAGTTTAGTCACTATTCAGCTAAATACTGTAACTTCTTACCTACCTGTATATGGGGCAATAGTTCATTCTCTATATCATAGTAATTCCTTAATTAGGAGATAAGGGCAAAGACCAAGACTTTAATATTCACCTACTGGGAAGAGACAAGACAGAAAGGGAAGAAAATCTATTTCCGTGGCTCCCTGGACCACAATGATGTACAAAGAATAAACCTGAACTCTGAAGATGCAGATTCTAATCTTAATTCCTATGAACATCAGCTTCTTCTTTCAAAAACGGGGCCATCATCCTCCCTCAGTTTCCCTGTGAGACCAAATGAAATAATCCGTGTGGAAATATTTTCTTAATTATAAAGCCCCAAACAGATGTAATATTATTATTACAAAATATATCAAAATAAGAGTAAAGCTTGACTCAAGAAAAATAGAATATCAGGCCTTGGGCCTTGGAGAAGACAGCAGAATGAGATTCAGTCAGAGTCAAATACAGTACGTTTCATTTACATTCGAATTTTCTCTTTTTCTCATAGTCTCATAGTCTCAATGCAGGGTGTAGTAGTAAAAACTGAATTCTAATATTTCAGAAACAACCTGAAGCAACACAATTGGGATGGAGGGAAAGAGTATAAGAGTAGTAATTTCCAAATTCAAAATCAAACAAAACTCAATCTACAATCAACTGGGCTACAAAATTAGGGGCAATAGAGATCTAAGGTAATATGCTTTACCTGTGTTTTATTTGCATTCTAATTTTGCTCTAATATTTTTTTCTTGTTGAGAAACACCAAGTATATAGACATCCCCATGGAAAAATAAAAATAAAAATAAACAAAAAACCATACAGAACAATAGCAAAGGAAATCAGGACCCTGGATAAAACGTGATTTCATAAATAATAAAGGGTGTTTTCTCTCCCCACAAATGAAATGGCAGTAACTGTTTTGTCTCTGATACAAAATTGTGATGTCCAGAGGCAGCCAACATTTATTTGACAACACCCTAATGAGAAGCCTAGCACATCCTGAAAACACCATTTTCTTGATCTCAACACAGAGACAAGCCAGATCCTCAGAATCCGTCTGTCCACAGCCTGCTCTGATTGCTGATGTGGGCATCCTCGGAGTCAGGATCGGTGGGGGCATTTGGACAAGGAAATAGAAAGGTGGCTGGAATCTCCAGGGAGCTTTTACACGGCCTTTAGCCAGGTGGGGCTAAATTTGATTCTGCAATAGAAACAAATCCTGTCTCTGCTTTCTTGTGCGAGTCAACTGCTTCTCAGAATTTGAAAAAACTTCATGGCAAGGCTTTTGCTCTTTCAAACCATTTTCCCACCACTGCCTTTCTTCAACGGGAAATCATATATTCTAAGTATATCTGTACAAGCCAATCCAAATGTGTGAAAAGATGT